CTTCTTCAAAGAAATCCAGGATTTCTTTGGCGCGCCCTATAGCGAGATCGCGTGGATCTCCTCGATCCAGTTGGCCACGACGTACGGTGCGGGTGAGTAGACCTGCACCAGCCCCTGCGGCGCGGTGGGCTGTGAAAAGCTGAAATCAGCCAGAAATCTCCACTTTGGGCCAGCACAGAGGGAAAGCAGCAGTGTTCATCGGCAGGGGCACTACCAACAGGGTTACTTTCTGATTGTGTTCCCAACGTCATTTAGAGAAGCAAGTCGTATGTGCAGCCTGAAGGGACTACAGGGCGTTCTTTGGGGGGATAAATTGGTGTGGTTGGGCTTTTCAAAGTGTGCTTTCTGAGTTTGTCACTGGGATCAGCAGGTGCACATGTCTTTTGATCCCTCTGGGTGCCTTTTGGGCCTGAGGGGGACTCCGTTGAAAATGTGGTCTGTGACAAGTCTGGTGCTGACGTTTCCTTTATTTGCAGCACCTTTCCTGCTTCCCAAACTAGGGCTCTTTTCACTGATGTGGGCACGGTGTTACACAGAAGCCTTTATTAAGGGCTGCAGTATGCCCTGTGCACCGGACCCGGAGCTGCACAGTGTGCCCCATTGCTGCATCCCTCTCCATGGCCACACTGTGGAGGGGGAGTTTCTCTGACACCACAAACAAAATGTGGCCTTGGCCCTGTCACACAGCCCCCTACTTCGAAACCAGAAGATCAGCTATTAAAGCTTTCCACGGGCATCAGTGAAAAAGCCTGGAGTCTAGGCTGGTGTGGAACAGCTGGATCTGGCTTTCAGCCAGAGGTGAACGTAGAGTAAAGCAATAAATGAAGTAGCTGCTTGTTTATTGTGGCAGCTTGTAATTACAGCAATGAAATCGCAAGAGTCAATCATTCTTGTCAGTTGCAAAGTAGTGCATATAGCTGCTCTTTTTTTATGATTTTGGTATCGCTTTCCTGATTCAATGAAAACCTTGGGCTGCCTTTGATTAAATCTGCAATGGGAGATAGACAGGAACTACGCTCTCTAATTGCAGGAAACTTCATCAATATTTATCCTGGCTATTAAAGCAATTCTGAAAATATTCTCTGTTTTTTAAAAAGGTGGGTTTTTTTTTCCTTAATAATGCACTGTAGTGCTTTTTGAAGAGCACAGTTGGTAATGAACGTAAAGAAGCTTTGTAAATGTTTGTAAAGAGGAAGCGACGCTTGAATCAGAGCCTATCCTAATCCATTCTACTGTAACCTCTGCAAAGGCTTGTACCTGTGGAGAGTAGCTCTGTAAGGGCAGAATTCCAGTCTGAGAGGCCACAAATGAAGCAGTTTGAGGGCAAAACCCAACTAGCGATTTAGAAAGAGAAATCCTCCACTTAAACCAGTGCTGTTATCCCAGGCCACCCCCTTGGCCTCCCTGATGGGTTGCTGAGCCCTGGGGAGCACTGCAGCTTTGGGCTGGATTTCCACTGGGGCTTATTATTAAATGCAGAGAAAAGCACTTTTGCCTCAGCCCCAGGAATATGAATAAGCAGTTTGCAGTGAAAAGGAAAGAGCTGGGCTCTGTATAGGCTGAACAGGAGCAAGGGGCTTGTGGTGGGGTATGGAAACACTGCTGTGGGGAGGCAGGCAAAAGGACCCCTTCTCATTTCAGTTACTACGTAAATGCTGTTTTAAAGGTAAATTATGTGGAATGTCTCTGAAGCAGTCAAGCAAGGAAAAAAGAAAAAGTAGGCAGCCCAAGCCTTTGGTGTCTTCAATTGCCTGTAGATGAGTGCCTAGGAAGCTGAGTGTTTTAGAAGTCAAAGAGAGATGGGTAATATTTAGTATCAAAATTGTGCGAATGAGTAGAGGCTGCTGTAAGTTTCATGGTGTGATACTAAAATCAGGACATCACTTGTTAGGAAGGCTGTGGTTGGGGTTGCCCAAATGTGTCCCGTGGAGAGCAGGGATGGGCTGGGTCCCTAACCAGTTTCTCTCTGTCTTCCTAGTAGCTCAGGGCATCGTACAGTGCAAGTCTTCTTACTGGGGAAATGCTGTTTCTTCCATTGCACTCAGTCTTGGGTTGCTGTTAGGTGGGGCTCAGGATGTCATGATGATGATCTTATGATTTCAAGCATCATCATCCACAGCGAAGCAGTGGTAAACTCTGCCCAGCCATTGGGTGGGTGGACACCTTGATGGAGCAACTCCTTCTGCAGTGCCATGCACTGAGGTGATATCCCATCACCTGTCCCATATTGTGACATGAAACACACCAAAGCAGTTACCTGTAGGCTGGGGGCTTCCTGGCTGCATCTGTGGGTCGTTGCCAGCTCTGCCTGGTGCTTTGTGCTTGACTGTGACCAAATGAAGAACATTCTCTGCAGTTTAACCTTTCACCTGGCAGTGCCTGGAGTTGTTCATAGGGGTGTAGATGAGGGGCTTGAGCCTCTTGGGGTGCAGGTCATGGCCAATGAGCTGGAGCAGGTGAAATTCTGCTCTGATCACCTGTGCCTTCTCCTATCTGCAGACTTTCCAATACACTTTCTTCTCTTTCTCTCCAAGTGTTCAAGCCGGGGCTGTGTGCTTTGTACCTGGGGTGTTGTAGTGGGCTTTTATCCCAATTAACTGAGCATCTCCTGCCTTTTTGCAAGAACCTTTAACTTTCCCCTCCCTCATGCTATTATACGGTAATATGGGGGATGACACAACTGGGCACTGTTAGACTTAATTGCAGGCAATTGTACCTTTGTACCTTCCCACTTGCCTTGCAGTTGCTCAGAGTTATGTCCATTTAATAGTCCTCCCCTCCTCTCCTCCACTCTTGAATGAGATTTATGCTCGTTTGATCATCCCTGTCTCCGCAGCAATCCAGGCTGAGATGCTGAGTTGCTCAGTGGCTGCAGACACGGCTGCGATGGGAGTTTGCAGAACATGGAGCAAATGAAACACACATGCCCAAGAGCGTATTTAACACATCTAATTTGATTGACTGGGCATTTAATGCCACAGCGGGTTTGACTTATGAACGACTTCAGTGATTTGGAAATTCTCATTAAAGGAACGGGGCTGCAGTTCTTATGAACTGCCAAAGTCTTGCTCTGCAGCGGTGCCTGTTAGGACTGTGAGGATGCTTGTGTGGCAAAGCTTGATTTCCTTTGCTGAAAAACTAGACAGTAGTTTAACACTGGTTTTTCTTTAATCTTTCCAAAAAAAAAAAAAGCAATTCTAAAAATGGCAAAGGAAGCTTTCAACATAGTTCTGAGTAACTAGTGGAGTTACTAAACCAAAATAATCATCATTGCCATGGCTTGTCCATTCCTTTCCTTCCTTTCCCAAATCAGTGGTGAGGCAGAACTGTCACAGCCTGCCTGGAGGTGCAGGGGTGGGTGGGCTACAACTGTGCAGGAACCATGCGGGGTGTGCTGAGCATCTCCTACACTCCAGGCCCTGTGTCCTGGGGGATGGAGGGACCACGGGGTTCATTTGCTGGTGTCAGATGTGGGCACCACAGCCACGAGAGGAAAACTCCAAGCCTGCCTCACCTCCACCCCTTCCCCCTGCTCCAGCAACAGTAAATGGCCATGATTTGGAAGGTGTTCCTCAAGAGTGAAGAGGCTCTGCTGTTTGCTCACCTGGTTTCAGGGAAAGGCTGTAGCGTTGCTGTCTCCCCCCGGGGGTTCAGAGTTGTCTCCGGGCTGTGCCGTAGCTCTCGGAGCCAGGACTCAGGGCAGCAAGGCTGGTGTCTGAGCACGGGGATGACCTGAGGACTGACTTGGCTGGTGGCTGGGCTCCTCCGTCCTGGGAGCTGGGGGCAGCCGTGCTGCTCACGCCTTGGCAGGGTGCAGAGGGTCTGATGCTCTCACTGACAACAGCTTTTGTTTGCAAACATCCTCAGGAAATGGTCCCTCGGTTCCCTGGCGTGCTCGCTGGTGTGGGGACTTGTTTTTAGGCTGTGCTGCTTACTGTGTAACAGAGCTTATGTTTGCATTTTCTAAATAATGCAAATGAAGCGCATTTTCTGAAAATGCTCGCATGAGCTAACCCAAATCCGCACTGAAGTAGCTCTGTGGGCTTTGTCAGCGTGGAAGCAGATTTACAGTGACCACCTGAGGCTCTGGCTTGTAGCAACAGAGCCATGCCAGTTTTTCAGACTAAGACTGAAAAAGCAGCAGCCGACACTGTCTGCCCTTTTTGCTTGATTCCCCTAGGAAGCTGTTTTACACCAGCCAAGGCTGTGGCAATATATATTGCAGAAGTTTTAATGTGTCTTATCCCCCTGTTTCTTAATCTGAACGAGGTTGCAGAAAACAATTCTGTCACTATAATACAGGTAGTAAAACAGATTAGTGTGCAGTAAAGTGGATAGCCTGGTCTTTATGACAGGGCACTTGTTCTTGCTAGTGTTCATGTTCAGCAATTCCGTGTTTCCAATTGCAGAGGGCAAAGTGGGTGGTTTGTGAGTGATGAGAACAAGGGAATGTTGCTTTTCTGTGACTAAATCCTGCAGGGTGCAGCCCTACCAATTTGATAAAGAAGGATTTATGGTTTGCAATGCTTCTACTTTTTCTCTATTTTTGGTCATGGTCAAAGAGCTCTTTCCTTACCCCAAATGAGAAAAGAAGTATGGAAGAGAGTCTTTGATGAGCAGAAAGGAAAGAAACCAGGATCTGTCTGCAAGGGACCAGGGGAGATGCCACCATCCTTCCCTAAGGGATGGCCCTCAGCTTCCAGGTATCAGGGGGTGACGAGGACAAGCCAAGATGGTCAAAATGTGGAGCATCACAGGGCACTTGCTGTGCTGCTGCTTGTCCTTGGCAAAATTTCCTTTCACAAACTCCCTCCTTGGACTTTGCTATGCAAATACAAGGCCAAGATTCCCAGGCTCTTGCCTCATGCACAGGGATGGGTTTTGTTCAGGAAGATAATCTGAAGTAATATAATTGCAAAAAATGAAATCCTTTGGCCTTCACACCTCCTGACTTGGGCCGTGTGCCTGTTTCGTGTTCACAATAACAAACTGAGCTGCCCTTCTCCCATTTTTAAGGGTGACACATTTCAAGCTAGGCCACAGAGGAGTCCCCAGAGATAACCATTACCCAGGTAAAGCAGGAGGCAGTTGA